CAGTAAGTTTCCAGCATTTTTTCGAAATTTATTTATTACGCTAATAGGCCATGTTTCGATGTCTTGTAAAAGTTTATCAAAATTTTCGTATACAGAGCCGATCGTTTTCTAATAAGATACTACTAAAATATTGCGAGTTATCAAAATCTAGTGTTGATAAATATAATAGATAAATTCTAACAGAATTCTATAAACTTACTGCTTCAAAAATCAGTTGATTGAACAAAAAAAATGTATGAAAACAGTTCTCTTGTTCTTATGACTGGACTGCATAGTTCACTTTTGAGCAGTTTTGACAAAATCAAATGTAAGGAGGCGTAGAAAGTATCACTTTTCGCACAACTACTTTGTTAGGTACGATAACAACAACAACAACAACAACAACAACTTACCTGGTCTGCAATTTCTCATGTGTCAATCAATCATGGATTACATCTTCGAACATACTCGCTCAATGGTCATTCGATGGTTCATTTCAGGATTCTACAAATACCTACAATGGCATACCTTCTTCAAATACGCCTACTTTTGTGACCGGCTATATTGGAGAGGCTGTGTCATTCAATTCTACGCTCCATCAATGGATCTATACCTCATACATTCCTTTAAACAATATTAGTTTTACTATTGATGCATGGATCTATCCAACTGGATTTCCTAATTCAAGGGATCATAGTATAGTTGGTTTATGCCTAAGTACTATAACTTCTGGTTGCCTTCACGTCAATATTCGTAGATCGAATCTGTATATGGGTTTTTACAGTAATGACGCACAGGGTAGTACACATATTTCGATCAATAAATGGATACATGCAGCATTTGTCTATAATGCAGCTTCACTTGAACAGACCGTATATTTGAATGGTATCATCGATGGAACGCACAAGCCGGCTAGCGCACTAGCAGCTTCACTAGCTAATCTTACAATTGGTACAAATCAGGTGATCAGCTCTCCAGTAAACTTCTTTCAGGTTAGAAAATAAGGTCTTTTAAATTTGTTATAATAAAACAAAATCAATCAAATATGTCATTTTTCCGTGTTGCTTTCTCTCACTGATTACAGAATGACAAGTTTTTAGACACTTTCTTTTCGAAAGTTTCATTGAACGCAATTCCTCTTGAATTGATCATTCTTATTGGATTCAAAAATTTTACCTATAAAATGATAGTGAATATTGATATTTTAGGGCTACATAGATCAATTGACAATCTCCACTCGTGTCAAATCGTCATGCGAAATACTCGACGAGGCAACATTAGTCGCTCACTTCACATTTGATAGTCCTTCGCCTCTCATCGACTCAGGACCTAATTCAATCAGTGCGACTGCTTCCAACTATACAATCATCTCCAGTGGAAAAATTAACCAAGCTATTTCTTTTGATGGCTCATCACAATCATATTTTCAAGCATCAAGTTTCATATTACTTGGAGTCACGAATTATTCATTTTCGATTTCGCTTTGGGTTTCACCTTATAATCTCACGGGTACTCTTGTTTTTATAACAGTAAATCTAACGCAGACGACATTTTGTTATCCCTTGTTGGGTTTTACATCGAATGGACCACTTGTCGCTCAAATTTACATAGGTAGCTCATCAATATCTGTTGCTTCAGGTCCAATTTTGTCTGTTTCACCATCATGGACACTGATCGTTCAAACGTGGAGTACAACAAATGGATTAAGACTCTATGTAAATAATGTACTAGTGAGTTCAGTACCTACAGCCACAACCTATGTAGCAAGTGGTTCGGCATCGAACTATTTGCTATTAGGCAATTGTGGAAATAATTGTGGATGTCTCAATGGAGCTGTCAGTGCACCTGGTCCATTCTCAGGTGCAATTGATGATTGGCGAATTTACAGTCGAGAACTAGCTGCAGCTGATGTGTGTTCTCTTTACACCATGGCTTGATATAACAGACATTGATTCTTTTTATTACACTCGTCCCATATAATATATCTGACATTTCTATTTAAAAGAGTCTTGTAATTACTGTATTGTCTTGAGAGTGCTTATAATTAAAATAAAGGATACTGCAAAGGAGTACGACAGATCTGCCATCTTCTAGGAAACATTCAAATAAATATTGCATGATACTTGCCTTACGTAGGAATTACGTATTCCATGTGCTTCCAAAGTACAAAATAATATAAAGACCATATATTTATATATATCGAGTGCAACATGGACACTACTGGGTGATCATGTGGGTGTGAATGAGAGTCTTCTTCTCATAAAAAACTCAGCCCACATTCTAATAATAATAATAATAATAATAATAATCAAATTTTGTGATGTATTGACCTTGTTGTTTATCTCACATTTTTCTCCATAAAAATTTTTCTATATCACTAATTTCTTGTTTGTGATCAAATATCATCAACAAAAACAAATATCGAATTCTACCTGTTGACTTAAGGATAGTTATGACTTGGAATACAAATGATACCGATGTTGATTTACAAGTCATTGAACCCACGGGGTGTGGGTGTGGGGTGTGGATATTCTCTTGATGCATATTCACACCCACACCCACACCCACACCCACACCCACACCCATCCAAACCCATACCGCTCACAAGTTCTCACTCGATTTCTATAATAAATTTTTTTTTAGTCAAACGCGTGGTTGAAAGCTTTGTTTCTAATGAAGAAACGATGCAGTAAAAGACGCTCGACAAAATGACTATTGATTGGCCCCGCTAGTACATCTAGTAAGAAAGCTATAGGCTGAGAAATGTGCTTCACAAAAAAAGAAAAATTAACCGCGAACCCGATCGACATGGTGATGGTTCTAGTAAAAGTCGTATAACTTCATCAAAACAAAAGGTTTTTCGGTCGGACTTGTTTTGTTCTGATCAGAAATGATTGTTCTTCTCTATCTAGCTGCACGATCAAAATTTCGATCACATTTTCCATTCCTTGCTGGGTACACTGTCGAAAACGGGGTTGTCGATTTTTGAAAGTTTGTTCTCGAGTACTCCACCTGCGCTAACAAAAAAAAGTTTTTTCTACAGCTCACCAGAACGAGCACATTTGAAAGTACCAAACACAAACGGAGTCCTCACCTCTGCTACGCTTTTCTACGGAAATAATAGAAGAAGAAAAATTTCAAATCGAAAAAAAAATATCAAATTTACAAAGTTTTCATTTTTTTTCGCCTTGTGTATAATTTGCTTAGTTTTCTTGATTGAAGTTCTAAAATCAAAGTTTAGGTGTAATTTTGTAGAGAATTTCAAAACGCTTCTATTTGCAAAAGAATTTGTTCTAGTGGACATAAGGAAACGGAGTTAAAGCAAAAATACCGAGATTGGGTTCACGGTTAACATTTCTTTTTTGTGAAGCACATTTATAAGCCTATAACTTTCCTACTAGATGAGCTAGCGGGGCCAATCAATAGTCATTTTGTCGAGCGTCTTTTACTGCATCTTTTCTTTACTAGAAACAAATTTTCTATCACGCACTTTACTAAAGAGGGTATGGGCGGGTGTGGGTATAGTTGTGGGTAGGTGTTAAATTAATTCCAACATTCACACCCACACTCACGCCCACACTCATCAAAGAGCTCGCGTATTCCTTCGATAACAATATGGAATGAATGCGATCTGAATGAACTAAAAATGTGAATAGACACGCAAGACCAATCATTGCTATTTTGTCACGCAGAATTCTCATTTGATCAAAATTGGTTGAGCCTCATCATAACGTCTACAATACGATGACTCGTTCACTACACACTGAAATATCCAAATCTACTTCACTTCGAGCATAAATAAGCACCAGACTAACAATTTTCGAATCTACGAACCATGTTTTCATCATGATTCCAAGAACAATTTGCAATATTATTCTTGTAAGATACTGCACTAATAAGGGAGATAATAAAATAAAGACAAGTGAGTTCGATGGTTTACAGTATCTAACTGTTTGTTTATTATATGTGTATATATATATATATAAGAAAAAAAACAAAAAAAAAAGGAAAACACAGAAAACGACGACGTGTTACATAATATATGGACAAACAAGAATAACAATAGAATAACAATAAAATAACAATAGAGATCAGGTCCTAACAATTCTATTCATTTATTTCACCTTCAATCAATAAAACAAAATCATTCATTTCAATCACATGAATGTATTTGTTCCATTTTCAGACATATCGATCATCAAGCCATCTGATGAGTCCATTAAGCAAGGGCGAAATTGGTTATGGCAACTCTGACTCATCCTCAAAGCATTAGGAGATTTTAATATTTATTACATGTTACATTGAACTTTCATTAATACAATTTTTGATTTGTCCCTTTAGTAATTTTATCTTTTTCTTCGTCTTCTGTACAATGATGCTGAATGCAATTTGTGTAACATGTGCATTCTCTTTCTCAGTTCGTATCATTATTTATTTTGATAAGAGTATTAGAGAAAGAGAAAGAGACCTCTCACTTAGTTTCGTATTTATCTTTACCTTTTAAAATGTTACGTTTTGTTGATACAATAACACAGGTAATAGAGTCATACACCCAGCAAAATATTTTTAAAGGTGAACTGAAAAGGGATTGTTTTCTTCGTGAACACAAGCCCTTTTTTATTCTCTTTAAAGAGTGAACAAAAATTGATATGATTGTTTTGAGATTATTATACAAAAACAAAACATCTTCCAAATTCTACTAAATATGTGAAAACAGACACTAAAGTATAGGTAAATAAGCTCTTATCTAAGTTATATAAAAAAACATGTCCAGTTATCTTAAAAAACGAAAGAAAATGCAACAGGAGCGAGATATAATAAATAAAAAGTGGAAGAGATAGGCAGAAAATTTTGTTCGACAGAATATTTTATTGTTTTATTTCTCCTAAAGATTCAAAACTCGCGTTATTTGTCATGATGAAAAAAATAACATTTTGCTTTGCTGTGCATCTTAGTGCAACTGCGGTTTTTTAACAGGATCTAAATTGTATTGTACGCCTGCTCTAACAAAACTTTTTTCGCTTATTGGTTTTCAAAGTCAAAAGATCAGAAAAAATGCACAGCTATTAAATATTTAGTTTCAGCTCGAAATAAGTTATAACAAATATATACATGGCAGTTGTTACTATTTGGCTTGATCAATCGTGCGAGTCTATTGCTATTAAAAGTGAAAATGTTACAACTTATCTCTTCCTTTGCAAGATCGATCCATATCTAATAACATTTCAAAATTCAGACAAATGCATTGATTACATTACTAATTTGAAAGAAGGCGAGAATAAAGTCGTTCTGATAATTGCAAATCAGACGTCATCTCTGTCTATTACTGGCAGTACACTTCTGCAGCTGAGCGAAGAACTTTCACAGATTGATTCGGTCTACATCTTATATTCAAATGAAAACTTTGAAACATCCACTAAAATCAATGGCATCCACACGAATCAGCTGGAATCTTTCTGTAGTCAGTTAAGTCCAATGGCACACGTCCAACGACGTCGTCGTGAAGGATTTGCTCGTAACGATTTTAGCATTAGCTCATTCTCGTCTCACGTAGCCGAAACTTCTGCTCTCAATGCTGCTACTATTACCATCAACAATCAACTTCCGTCATTACCAACGTGCGATACTACTACTAAACGGCAGGAAGCTGAATTTATGTATGCTCGATATCTACGAGACATTTTGAATGAGATGGAATCCACAGAAGAAGAAATGGTTGAATTTTGTCGTAAGATATATGCTGATAATGAAGCAGAACTAAATCATGTGGACGAATTTGAAGCTTATTACGATGTCCGCAATGCTATCTTCTGGTACACACGCGACACATTTCTCTATCGTCTCCTTAACAAAGCACTCAGGGAACAGGACATCGACACTCTCTATTCCATACGATACTTTATTAAAGATCTTCATTTGCAGTTAGAAAACCGACACGCCTCACAACAGCAGGTAGCTAGAGATGCAACTGATCCAATAACCGAAATAGTTTATCGAGGACAGCTTATGATTAACAAAGAATTTGATAAGAAAATTCGGTATAACACAGGAGGCTTCTTCTCTGTGAGCAGTTTTTTCTCGACAACACCCCACAAACATTTAGCAAGTGTATATGCTGGCAATCTTAACAGTAGTAGTATCAGTAATGAAGCTGGTGCAGTGCAAAGTGTTCTATTTCAAATTGATATTGATAAGAGTTTAAACAAATTTCCATACGCAAATATCTCAACAGAAAGCGTATTTGAGGAGGTTGAAAGCGAAATTTTGTTTACAATGGGAGCAGTGTTTCGAATACAGTCGATTGAATGGAATGATCAAGGCTTTTGGAATGTTAATTTGAAGCAAACAGGCGAAGAAGATAAAGAACTCAAGATTTTGTCGGAACATATAAGAGAGGATGTATTCCTGGTGAGTCCTTTGAATAGCTTAGCAAAATTAATGGTAGAGATGGGAATTTATGATAAAGCTGAGCAATACCACCTTTTGTTATTTAAAGATCCTCATTTTATTGATGATTCTCACAACCTATCCTGCCTACATAATAATCTTCGGAGCAGTTCATAAAACAGAGGTTTTTCAGTACCGCTAGTGATGTCTTTCTTATTCTCTCTCAATCAATCCATAATTTGTGAACAAACACATGGTTCTATTTACTCTGAAACTGGACAGCAAGAAAAAGCAATTGAACACTTTGAAAAATCACTTGAAATTAAATTGAAACATTTAGTCGTACCAGATTCTTCTCTAGCAACCACGTACATTAATCTAGGAGAAAGATATCGTGAAGAAGGTGACTATGACAAAGCATTAACATATTTCAACAAAGCATTAGATATTGAGTTGAACGCATTAACTCCCAACCAGACTATAATTGCTGTTTGTTACAATAGTATTAAAAGTAGTTCGACACAGCTTGTTCGTTTGCTTTTCGAAGAGT